CTGGAAGATCGTTTGTCACAGAGACTTCAGCAAGCCGTGTTTTACTACTGCCTCAGCTGGGCTGCTCTTTGTCTTTCCCGCAGGCCTGTCCTTCCAGCTGACTTCAGCCACGCTGCTGTCCATTCTGGTGTTCCTCCCTTCCGTCCTTGTGGTGGTTCTGCTGTTGGTGAGGATGGGAAGGAAATTTGGAGCGCTCAAGAAGGAAAAAAAATCGGGCTGTAAGAAGTCGTCCATTGAAGTGTCTGATGAGTAAGTTCGGGCTGCAGCCTAAAGCCTGTATCTCTGCTTTGGCCTGTTCACGCGGGCCAAAGGGCAGTGCCTCCACCGCTGTCCGTGATGGAGCTCTCGGCATCTGCAGTTCGGTCACTGCCATCTGCTGCTCCATGGGCATCGTTCAGCCAGCGGTCAGAAGGCTTTGGAAAATCCCCACGTTGGAGCACAAGTGCACATCCCCTTTTTCTGTCGTTCGTGGGAAGCTGTGGAACTGAAGCAGTTTAGGGTTAGACAGGCTTTCACTTCTGTAATCACATCTGTTTTAGCCTAAATCAGCAAGATACTTTGCTTATGTGGGCTTTACGTGTTGCGTTTGGGTATGGAGTATCCATACCAACCAAAACCACGTAGTGCTGGCTGGTTCCCCTGCAATGGCCTGAGCAGAGATGCCAGGTACTGAGTGAGCCTTGGACCCGAGCTCCCTCCTGAACTGCGGGGCTCTGTTCTGGAAGGGATCAGTGGTCAGGACAGCAAGGCCACGCTGTGACTGCTGGAATTACGCTGCAGTCAGTGCTGCAGCTCCTTGCAGAATGGGTTTTTAATACCACGTTCTGCTTAGTGCTGTGAGATTCACCAGCTGAGTAGCGGCTCCTGTTGTATTCTTCATGGCACTTGGTGAAATACCTGTCTTCAAAATAAAGGACAGTCTTTATTCCTTTTGGCTTTGCTGTGCACAGTCAAAGGCTTTTCCTCACGATGAACAGTCTCTGATTCTGTGTGGTAGAGCTAGGCTTCACAGCCCATAGGAGATACTGGTGTCTGTGCTGGGGTGCAAGTCCACCCTAATCCTCTGCTTCTTCTGCAGGCCCGAGCATACGGAGACAGGCAGCTGCCTGGGGAAACTCAAGGGCTGGTGTCTGAACTGTGTGGTAAGTGAAAGCTGGGGTTTCCATAGGTGGTTTTGTCCAGTTTGGTGCTCAAAGGACCTGCTAAGGGCAGGAAGCAGAGCTTATCATAGCACCTCTGGATGTCCAAGAAGTGTCCCGGATGGCTGGGCTTGTGCTGCTTGGCATTTTCCACGCAGGGGCAGCAGGGGTGAGGACTGCTGCTCATGCCACGTAACTGGCAGGGGAGTTGTCTTCAGATCCACCAAATGGATTTTTTGTGTGACTTTATTGGAATCAAAACTGAGATCATAAGATGGAAACTCCGAATTTTAGGTGCTAGCTACTGTGCTGTGTAGTTTTTTTCAAGGCTCTGCAAAACCAGTTTGGGGTTTGGCAGCGGTGTGGCGATACCTCAACCAATGATGGTTCTTGCAAAGATGGCCACGTGCAGCCTTGCCTCTGTTTTGGAGATCTTCCTGCTTGCGCTGTTTTCCTCACAACAGAATCCTGCTGAGCTCCTGTGGATCGTTTGTTTCTGGCTCTTTGTTTTGCTTTGTGAAGTGGTGGCTGTCTTCTCATTTTGCTTGTTCACGTGCCGTCCCGTTGGCAAGCTCCTGCCAATGAGATGTGCTGCACTGGAACTAGTGAATGTTTTTGCCACCTGCTGTACTTGTGTAAAATGTGCCTCAAATAAGTTCTGTGTGCTGGCGTTAGCAGCCGCAGCTGTAATGAGGCACGTTCCAGAGTGAGCTCACTAGTATGCCTAATTTGAGAGTGCTTTTGTGTTTTCCTGATGTCCTACAGAGCAAGCTCGCCTCGGATGCACCTTTACATCTTTTACACTCGGTCAGGAAGTATGTGAAGGAGGATTTACATATGTGTTTCTTGATTCATTATTCTAATGCCAGTGATTTAAAATGCACTAAGTGCATGGGAGCCTTCAGACAGCCTTCTATGCTTTATTAGAGTGAGAGTGAAAAAGGACCAATTGCACAAGTTACAGGTGAAATATTTACAATTCCGCATAAGACACAGCGGCTACAAAGCAGCAGTGTCAGGAAACGAGTTTTGAGAGGTGCAGAAGGTGGAAAATGCTTGATGCAAAAGGGAGATGGAAAGAACATTGCAGGTGGCTGTGCTGGGGAGCAGGGAGGCACCGTTGCTTTACTGCAGGTGGAGAGGAGCGGCAGGGTGGGAGCCCAGGTTCTGTGGGGAAAATGCTGCCAGTTGGAGATGTCAGAAATGGAAAAACGCCTTCTCGTCCTTGCAGAGCAGGCAAATTTGGATGCTCTGAGCCTGCTGCCTTCATATTGAGTACTCGTCATATTTGATACTTTGCTCTCTGGTACCAAATATTTAGCTTACCAAGTCTCTGAGGGTCCTGTCTGACTCAGTCACCATTCTACGTTTTTGAGGTTTCTGTAATGTACTTTTTGATGCTTAATGTGCTGCTGCATAGTTAGAACTGCAAACCCAGTGAAAGTCTGTTTGGACTCGCAGTGGTGGAAGGTTAGTGAGGTTTCCCCAGTGGAGCTGTTGTGTGCGAGCTGCTTTTGAGTCGGGAGCTGCAGAGCTGGGCTGTGAGGATGCCATCAACGACTGCTGTGGTTAAAACAGCAGGCCATGGGGATCTGGAAGTGGCTGTAGCTGGGAAACACCACCTCGTGCTGCCCCAGACCACCTCCGTGGGATGGGTGGTGCTGGCTGCGCTTTATGCTTCACCTTTTGTTTGAGGTTTGCCTGCTGCTTCTCTTAAAAAGCACTTCACACGTTGGCAATTCGTCTGTGTATCTGACAGGTCAGACAGGTTGAGCTGCAGGTGCTCATGCAACTGGAAGTCCTCTGGCTTATTGAAGCACAGCAGCATTTTGGAAACTGTTTAAGCTCTTGTCAGAAGCCCAGCAGTCTCAAAATTTTGTTGAACGCGTAACTCGGTTTGTGTCTTCATACATAGTCTCAATTTCTCTTTCCATGCTCCTTGTTTAGGACACGGATGAGGAAGACCCGTACTGATGAAAGACCAATGCTGTGGATAAAGAACAAATGTACAGCACTGAAAATCATGGCTAGATGGGTATGAAGGCTGCTGGCTAACCAGGGCGGATTGAAGGACCTGCTCTCATCTTGGTGTATTGGAAGAATGATGCTGGTGGGATGATTCACTTTTACTTAAGCACAGTAAATTCCTAATTTATTCAGGAAAACAAAAAGATCTCTTAACCTCGCTTCTCCAGTGCCTACAGAGAGCTCAGTGCCTGCAGCTGTGCAGCCTGTTGGCTGCTGGCAGGCTGACAGCGCGTGTTTCGTGGTTTACCTGCAGATTTCTGTCCTTTATTCCTGGGGACATCCCTCCTTTCCTGCGCCCTTGAACCCCAACGGGCTGCTCCGGAGCGACGCCAGCTCTCTAACGTGGCCATCGCTGTGCTTTGACAAGGCTTTCTCCCCAGTTTTTTTTATGTATTTGCTAAGGACTCAAAGCGGTTTGATTAAGTTGGTGTATGGCATTCTTTGCCTTGGAGTGAAGAGAACCTACTGCTTTTTGACTGTTTCTTCGTTGAATCTGCCACTTAATTACAGATCATGGACTGTTCCGACTGTTTTCAGCTGCACAGTGGTGTTACCTTACCTTGCTGAATTTTCTTTCCTTTTTTTGTTCGTATTTTGTCCAACCCCTGCATTGCTGGTTGTAGAAGTGAAGCACAACTCATCTAAAACTGTTTTTTTAAATCGGATATGGGGACTCTGTATCTGGGGAAACAACCCCGTCTACCTCAGCCATTGACTCAAGCAGCATCCGAAGGAGTGTTGTGTGCTCAGAAGAACCGCGGTTCCTCCTCCCTTCTTCAGGTACCATTTTGGGGAAGCAGCGTCATTAGTGCCCAGCAAGAAAGAGCTTTCTCTTTCACCAGCCTTGTGCAGTAATGGGGGCAGAGCAGTGGAATTCCCGTCTGCTCGGTACCCAAGCAGCTGCTGTTTTCTGCTGCCTTTCTGTGGGTGCTTTGGTCAAATAGTCTCCTTTCACGTCTGTGTCACAAGTTTACTGTTCACTCTGAGATGTCCCACCACCAATAAACTGCTTTGTTCCGTACTGGGCTGTGGATTTCTTTATTTGCCTGAACGTGGCTAAATAGGCTTGAACTCTCCAAAGCTGTTGCTTAGCTGCAGAAATTGTCATGATGATGGATGGGTGAAGGTGTTTAGGGAAGAGATTTAACTCAAAAGGGAGCACATATCAAGTCCCGCTTTAGCAGCTCTCTGGTGGCTGCCGGTTACAGGTATGTTGAAGTTCCTGACTGCAGAGCAGGTGCAATGTAGAGCTGTATCTCCACATAAAGAAATGTATTTTTTGTCCTGTGTCCTATAAAGCAGTATTTAAAAAGCTTGTGTTTCCTGATGACACAGTGTCTCTCCCAACCAAAACGTTCCTGAGAGAGGATGTTGGTGGGATATGCAGCCCAGGGGAAGTGGCTTTGTTGTTCCGCTTTCAGTGATACAGCGTCGCTCAAGCTCTTTGTGGGAATGTACAGCTCCTCTCTGCAAATGTTTCCCTTCAGCTGTGACTCCTTTGCAGACAGTGGGCTGGGGCCTGGCAGACCTCTTTCTGGTGCGAAGCTGAATTGCCACCTTGAAGCTGATGGCATCCTGGACTGTCAGCGGTATGGGATGGCTGCCTGTGAATAAGACTGAGCTTTCTCTGCCTTTGCCGGCTCTATGGGAGTTGCTCTGCGTGCCACTGAGCCGGTGATGCTGGGGTAGAGAGCAGCGATTGCTGCGGTACTGCAGAGGAAGAGGAAGGATGAAAATACGCTTTCAGAGTGACTGGGGGTTGGCGCCAGCTGAAAGCAGCCCCTGCTGTGTGTCTCGTATGTGCTTCAACGGGGAGCAGTTGACTGCTGTGAAAAGTGTGTTGGCCCATAAATGCCCGCTGACCTGCGGCCCCTGGTAGCACCAGTAGTGACACTCAGCAGAGCTACCAGTGTCACTGCTGAGACCTCATCGGGACAAGGCTCAGTCTGCAGGAGTGGGGGTTCTTTAACCAGCCCTGGTCCCAAAACAAACCAGGAGGGAGCACAGGCTGCCGAAGTGTTGCTTGCCAAGAACCTCTCCGTTCTTGCCATCTCACGCAATGACTGACCAGACCAGCCTGCTGCGATGGAAGGGCTGGGACTGAGCCTCATCTCGTCCCTGTGCCATGCCTTCTCTGCCCCAAGCCGCGTGCCCTTCATCTGCTCTCAGGCCTATGTGGCTGCAGTTCTCACCTCTCCTGACAGTGCCTTCTGCGGCCTGATTTGTCATCAAGCTCATGACTTCCTCTTGCAAGTTGAAAGTGACCACTAAACTGAACCTGAAGTAAGAGACTCAAAACCAAAGGCTGGTGGTGAGTGACACTAATGTCTTGCACGTACAACCTCAAGGCAATTTTAGCAACCGATTCTTTCAGATTCGCCGAATTAGTCACTGAGGAACCCTTCGTGCAAGAGAGGAGTTGACTGCCCCAACCCACGCTAGGTGAGTGGTTCTTGCCATCATATTTACCTCGGTTTGTTTGCTTGCTTGCTTTTCTTCCTGAACAGAGAACTAGGGAATCTAGTTTAGAAAGGGCAGCTATCCTGCAGAAGAATTTGGATATGTCAGTGCCATAATACACGTCATAGCCTGGGCGGGTGGGTGCTGTCTTCAGTGGGTGCACACAGCACCTCCTTGCTCGTGCATGTCACAGAGGGAGGCCCTGCAAAGATGTGTTCCCAGAGAGGGCTGGAATTTCTTCTGCTAAACAGGGTAATGAGTCCAGGAAGGATCTGGTGAGCAGAGCCTCAGGAGCTGAGCTGCAGAGAACTTCTGAAGCTCTGAGTGTGGACGTCCCAGTGTGCAGGCTTCTGTGTGCTGAGGAGTTTTTTTGAGCTGGCTCCAATTTTTGGGTCCTGGGAGGGTGTAGCTCTGCTTGAGTCTCATGGTTTTTGGCAGTATCACTAAAAAGTAGGATGCTTTGGCCTGCTGCAGTGAGACACTGCACCAGCTGAGCGCTTTGGAGCCGAGCGTGAGTTTTGCTGCCTTTGTAGGTCACACGTGCACAAGCGCAGGTTGTGCAGCAAAGTGTGCCGTGGCAGAGCTGCAGACAGCGCAGTCAAACCACACAGCTCTCCTCTCCACCTCCAGAAACCCAGCCCCAGATGGGTCATGGTTTTGAAAGGCAGATGTGAGAGAATTCCAGGAGGCTTGCTGCCACTTTTCAGGATTTTGTTTGTGGAAAGAGGAGGGCGATGAAGGGCAGAGGAGGTTTTATATCACTGACAGCAGGGAGGAACACCATGCAGTGCTGGAGAGCCGTAGTGACTGTTCCTCAGCCTAGAACAGAGCCACAGGTCCCCCAGCAGCTAATTCTGGGCTGGCAGTCCCTGTCTGAGCCTGTCTCAGGGTGTCTCTGAGCTTCCTTTGCTGAGAACAAGGCACTTGGAAAGCCAAAGGAATTAGCAAACATGTCTGGCCATGTGAAGAGAGGAAGATTTCCTAGGGCATGGGCAGTGGTGGGGAGGAGGCCTTCCCGCTCCCTGCTCTGTGGAGCTGCAGGAGCTGTTCCTGCTGCTCCCTGGTCCATGGAGCTGCACGTCCCCCTCAGCTCCCCTGAGCCCTTGGCGCTCGCCGTTACTGTCACTGTCGGTTGGAGTGCCAAGGATGCACGGTGTCGCACGACCACGGGTCTGTCGCTGTGGCTTCTGCTCCTCAGCACTGAAGGGAACCAGGGGTCTCTGAGAGCCGTAGGACTAATGGCAGATATCACATACTTAGTCCTTTCAGGGCTGTTTCTTGGGGAGAAATATCTGGGCCTTTTCCTCTCCCAAGCCTTGCTGAAGCTGCTCTAGAGATCCTCTGACTTGCACAGCGGGGGAAAAGCAAGAGAACCCAGCAGGGTTTCGGAGATGATTCAGCTCTTGTCTTTCTATTTCTGCAGCAGAAGTGCATGTATGGCAGCCTCCAACTCAGCTGTAATGCACAGGTTCTCCAATTTTTATGAGTATGCAGGAGGAAAAACGTCCCATCGCTTTCTGAGCGGGGTTAACGTCTCTAAACGTTGTAGTTCAGATGCTAGAGGCTCGACCCCCAAACCACCGGAAAGATTCATGACTTGGGGGAAAATGCAAAGGTGTTTCGGGCTGAGCCCTCCCCCCGCTCGCTCCCTTCCTTTGCAGGGCTCAGAGCCGTCTCAAACCAGAGGCACATCTGTGCTTCTTTGGGTTTCAGGCTCTCAGCTGGGACAGTGGCTGCACACCCAGGCAGCACAGAGGGTGTCCCTCCCTGAGGAACTGAAGGACGCCTTCTCCTGACCTTGGGGTTCAGTTCGGTCACACGTTGTTGGTGTCCTGCCCCGGGGGAAACTGATGCATGTGTCACCTCTGATGTTCTTTTTAAACCAGGATGAAGGTGCTGCTGAGCCTGACTGTGGTGCTGACATGGCTGGGTAAGCTGTACGTCATTGTGGCGGGTTTATTTACCCTGCTTGCTTTCCCCTCTGCCTGTGCTGAAAGACCCATTGGTTCCTCTTGTCCTGTGGAGAGAACGCCTTGGGGTTTTGCTGGCTCATGGAGCTGGCAGCAGTAAGGGGGCTTCTGGGCACCAGTAACCTCTGGGTGCTGTGTATTCCCTTCCTGCAGAGCACACACACATATATATGTGTGTGTGTGTTTGTATGTGTATATATATATGCATATACAGGCTTCAAATGGCAATGGCAACCCTGGATGGAGTCCTGTGCTTACTGGAGGAGGTCAGGTCAAACTGCTTTGCCAAGCCTAAATACAGGGAAAGGTTTCCAAGCTATTGATTTTGGTTCTGCGCAAGGCAACCGGCTTGACAACCCTTGGTCTTCTCTGCTGGCAAGTATTGATCGTTTTCAGCCCCACAGCTGGTCAAGACCAAAGGAAACCTGTTTGGGAAGCTGTAGCACTTTGTATTTATTATTCACAGGGCATCAGACGGGTGCTTTGTGCTTCGCCAGGGCTGGTGGCCGGGCTGAG